GCGGATATTGGTGAGGGTGATGAGTGTATGATTCCACTGTGAGCGCATAGGGCGAGCGAGAGTACGTGAGCGTTTGTGATTTTGTATTGCCATGTATATGTTGTGAGGAAACCGGCAACCATGATCCTGAAACTTGGAGTGGTGGACCACATAAGGCTTCAATAGATCAGGCGTGGTAATGAGCAGGGCGACAGCAGAGCCGCCTACGTAAAAGCCTTTTGTTTTACCCCACTGATTCCGTTTATCACGTGGATTATTGTTGTAGAATGCCTCGGGAGCCAGTTCAGATTATTACGTTTTGGATATATGCACGGTTCTCAGTGACACTGTGNCGCGAGTCCTCTGTGACTCAGAAGCTACTGTTTTTTTTTACCAGGTACGGGTTTAATTCCAATCGCTGAATTATCGAATTTCGGGTTAGTCACACTGTCTTGTGCATGTCAACTTTCACCTGCAGGATTCCGGCCGGGTCGCGGTTGTATCGATCAAATCCGCACTCTGCGTCAAGTCCTCGAACTTCGTCACACACATCGTCGGCCAACAATCGCAGTGTTCCTTGACCTGAAAGGAGCCTTCGATTCAGTTGATCGTGAAGCTCTTCTGGGGTCGCTGCTTCGCGGAGGAATACGGCAGAAGTACGTGAAGCCATTCCGGTCGCTGTACCTGCGTACTTCTGTTAGCGTAAGGGTCTACGGTGGGCTAAGCAAATCGTTCAAAACCAGGAGCGGTGTCCGTCAAGGGTACCCTATTTCGTCATTCCTGTTCAATTTCGTCGTAGGCGACGTACTGGAGAACGCACTAAGTGGTATCCAAAATGTTGGTATTCAATGGATGGCTGATGGAAAGCTGTACGATTCAGAGTACGCTAACGACATTGTTTGCCTGTTCGAATGTATGGAGAATGCGCAAAGCACTCTTGCATACTTTCAAGTTCTGTAACTCCTTCCTGCATGTGCTTTGTCACCTCAAAGTGCAAAATGATGCTGCAAGATTGGGTGTCGTCTACCCCCGCACTGATACTTGATGGTCAAGAATTAGCTGTAGTAAAATGTTTCAACTACTTAGGTGACTGCGTTTCAAATGACGGTAGCATAGTCAATGAAGTAACCGCCCGCATTTCCAAGTCTCAACCAGCTTACGCAAGAGTGAAACACCTTTGGTGCGGACGCGATATTTTGTCGAAACTGAAGGGTCGTGTATACGGCTCCAGTGTGCGGTCATTTCTGCTCTATGGTTGCGAGACCCTAAATTTGCGCGTGGAAGATATTCGTCATCTAGAAGTCTTCGACTGCTGATGTTTACGTAGTTTGGCGCGGTTCAGATGGAGCGAGGATGTACGCAACTCTGATTTAAGGCGTCGTTTATTTGGTGATTATTCGATGGAGAATTTGTTGTCCCATCGAACTCAGATTAGTCGGCTTCGCTGGCTAGGAATGCAAATGCCAAGTCATCGTCTACCGCACCGCGCCTTATTCGCAGTTGCGGCTCCAGGTTGGAAGAAACCGCGTGGAGGTCAACATGCGACATGGAAACGAGGCATAACGAAATGCACAGAGCGATTAGGTAGAATAGATATCTCCCGTCTTTCAGGTTGGGGCTCGAAAGACTGCAACTGGCTGGTTGAAAATACTGAAGAATATGACAACTAACCGACAGCAGTGACGTTCTTGTTGTCATTTATTATTTGATCAGAATGATTGAAAAGGTGTGTACACACACTTAGATTGTGTACTTTGAGTGTTGACCATATAGGTTCACTTTCTTTGCCTCCAAGTAGGCCCAATCCCTTTCCATCTTGTGCCTTATCACTTGATTTTCGTACATTGTGAGCTTGACAGCGATCAGTGCAGTTCGCTTCATGTATCTCGCTGTACGATAATGATGACTGGTTACCAACTCTGGTCGTTCCGCTGCGCTCTCTTTTCCACATCTTTGGGAAAGATTTCTTTCAAAAGATTGATCGACTTCAACTTTATTTCTGGTTCCAAAAAGGATGACAGATCTAGATGCGAAAATTACGGCGGTATTAGCCTCATTGATATTGCGACCAAATTGTTTGCAGGGATGCTGCTTAATCGCTTCACAGTCGTCAGAGATGCCCTCACTCGCCCGAACCAAGGGGGGTTTCGCCGCGGAAGAGGCGGTGTTAAACAAATCTTAACTCCGTAGGATTCTGGAACACCGCTACAAATTCCAACAATCTACCATTGACTTCCGCGCTGCGTTTGACTCCGACAGTAGAGATTCCTTGTGGTGCATCTTGCGGTCCGACAGGATGCCTGAGAAGTTCATCAAATTTTTAGTCATACTACTCAGGAACCCCGACACGCGTCCGTATCTATGGAGAAGAGTCAGCTGAGTTTACCCTAAGTTCTGGAGTCAGGCAAAGCTGTCCCCTATCGCCGGTGTCATTCAATTGCACCGTAGATTGGATAATGCGACAAGCACTCGTCGACTACCCCGGAGTACAACTTGGCCCAGGTGCATGAATTGCTGACCTCCAGTTTGCGGATGATGTCGTTGTACTTAGAGACATCATCGACAATCCCCAACCTGTTGTCAATCGTATAAATCAGTTTGCTCAGACCATTGAGCTAGAGATCAACACGTCAAAAACGAAGACATTTTCGACCGGAACTTCTGCCATGACACAACCCGGCTCGATTAAGGGGGAGCTTATCGAATCAACTGCATTTTTTCAAGTATCTTGGCTCTACGATAAGGTCAAACGGTCAGGCTTGGGATGAAATCCACCTCCGTGTAGATGGGGCTAGAAGAACCTTCCTGCAACTCTTCAAACCGTTGTGCAATCGATGTGAAATAAGATTAAACATTAAGCTTCGGGTTTATCAAGCTTCAATCCGCCCCATCCTCACTTATGGTTGTGAAGCCTGGCCGCTAACATTACAAGACACAAAGAAACCCGAAGTCTTTGATCATTGGTGCCTACGCCGCATCTTGAAAGTAAATTGGAGAGATCGGATTTCCAATGATGAGGTTCGACGACACTGCTTGAACATGGAGAAGCTTTCAAAAATGCTTCAATGCCGGTGCCTTCGGTGGTTTGGCCATGTGCTCCGATGGCCCGCCACTCAACCCTCGCGACAGGCTGTAGCCCTCGCACCGCGTTGCCGACCTGGAACAGTACGACCAAGACGGATTTGGAATCAGTGGTCCTCTAATCCATATATGGATTTCGTAACTGGAATCAGAACTGGATTACACTGCGTCAAGCTTGCTACCTCATCATCATGCATGGGTCGAAATCATTAGAGACATCCAAGAAGCCGACATCTTCCCGCAGGAGTCAGTCGATCAAAAGGCAAAGACAAGGTGTATGGCGGTCGTAATGGAGTGCGCACGGCATATGTGCCTGGAAAAACACAAGGGTAAGTGGATAATGCTGTAGGTTGATGAACCTTCACCAAATCACTCCCTTGATGGTGTGGGTCTTATCTGGCCTATGTACTGTTTGACACGCTCTACAAAATCACCATAGTCGAACTGGGTCGGCTCGGCTGTAATGAAGAGACTCGTTCGTCAAGCAAACGCAGGCAACAACCCTTGAAGTAGTTTACCTGGGGACGCGTTTAAACCCCCTTTGACCGTATCTCGAATCCCGAGCATTGCTAACGGCAACATTTCTGACCAGTACAGGTTTTCCGACCACCACAATGCAACCTTGAGGTGTGTATTTAAGCGTTCCACCATACCATTCGCAGCCGGGTTGTAGGCTATCGTTTTTACGTGTTGTGCCTAGGGTATTTAATAACTTTGAAGATATTGTTTCCAA